ACGCACACTTTCCTCTGCTCACGCACGGTTATCTAAATATGCGCACTATACGCACAGAAAGCCACCGAAACATCCGCAACACAGACGAAGGACAAAACGCACAAAAAGAAACATCAAAACGAATCTCCAGGTTCTTCCAAGAAACTAGTGACTCTGCTGGGAGGCTCGTGGAAGCAAACGGATAGGCTGTAAGTCTGGTTTTGCACAGGTTAGACCAGAACAGGATACGAAGAATCTATTTAAGTACACGGTTCAGAAAATATTACCAGTGGAAACAAAACCCCAAATCCAAAGCCCCAAAGCGTAAAAGCCCCAAAGCCAAGGCCGTCGTCCTGGCGGAGCGACCAAGTAAGGTCAGCGTGCTTCCTTTGCTCCTTTCCTTCAACAGCCCAGAAGAGTTTTGCGGTTTAGGGGTTTAGGGTTTAGGACTTTAGGTGTTTAGGGTTTAGGATTTTAGGGGTTTAGGGTTTAGGGTTGTAGGGGTTTAGGGTTTAGGATTTAGGGAGGGGGCATCCGCAAAGTAGATTCCTTACTGTGGTTCCGATGCACTTTCTAGGGTCTGGGTGAATGGTTTCATTCGGAGGGTTGTGTAATCTTCGGTAATATATTACTTACACCAGTCTTATTCCCTTCTGGTACCTATGAAGTTAAAGTATAAGTTACCCCAACACCCTAATCTAACTATCATGGCACCTGCAGTAGCTCGCTTTGCCTTTTGCAGGGTTTACAGAGGGGTGCGCGGTATCGGGGCATGGTTATTTTCTGCCAGACGGCTTTAACTTTACGTCTGACCGTTAACTTCTGAAGCCCAAGCATTTTGTTGGTAAAAGCCAGAAAGCCTAAAGCCTCATGGAAGGGCTTGTGGGGTTGTAGTGAGCTTCGGGGTAATATGAGGCCGAAGTTTTACAATGACGAGCAGCATCTCCCAGCAGTCCCAGATCAAGTTTGTATATTTGATCACATGCCCAGCCCCTCCTCCTCAGGAAATGCAGAGATCCACATAGCACAGCCGATGCTATGCTATGTGGATCTCCTCATTCCCTAAGGAGGCATTAGATCGAGGGTCCATAATGTAGAAGCCTAAATAAGGAAGTACCAACGCGAGTCCGCCAGGGTTCCTAGTCTCAAATATACTACAAAGGAGCACTACACCCCATTCTAATGATTAAGGCGCCCTATATAACCGTTATGGGACTAGGCCCCAAAAAGTCATCAAGTCATCCTACTCTGATAGCTCTGTCTCTTTCCTCTCCCTGCTCCCTCTCTGTCTCTCTCTCTCTCTCTCTCTCTTTTTTGTTCGTTCTCTCTCTCTCTCTCTCTCCCTTCATCTCTACTTCTGTCTAGGATCTATCTACATTGTCTCCCCCCACTATCTCTCTATCCCTCTACGCTTCTCTCTCTTTGCCACAAAGGCTCCAAGCCGGCAGCAGAGCCTACTGCTTGGGCTACTGCATCAGGCCGGGTTCGACCTTGGGGTTCGACCTTTTGAGGGTTCCATAAAGGGTTCCTAAACCCTGAACCCTGAACCCTAAACCCCTAAGATCTGAGGCCTAAACCCGGAACCCTAAACCCTAAAATCTAAACCCTAAACCCTGAACCCTAAACCCTAAGATCTGAGGGTTAAACCCGGAACCCTAAACCCTAAAATCGAAACCCTAAACCCTGAACCCTAACCCTAAACCCTAAAATCTAAACCCTAAACCCTAAAATCTAAACCCTAAACCCTAAAATCTAAACCCTAAACCCTGAACCAAAGACTTCCTTAAGGGGTGCCTTGAGAAGGATACCTTGACGAATTCCCTTTTTAAGCAGTCCTGTAAGGTACTTTTCCAGCTTTCCGTTAGGGTTTAGGGTTTAGGGTTTAGGGTTTAGGGTTTAGGGTTTAGGGTAAAGAATTCCTCTAAGGGTTCCTTCAGGTTCATAACAGCTTTCCTCTAAAGGGTTCCGTTAAGGGTTCCTTTAGGGGTTCCTTTAAAGGCTGCTTGAAGGGTTCCTATAAGGGTTCCTATATTACAGGTTCCTGACCGGGTTCCATATTGGGTTTGACACGCGTTGCATGGTTATGGGCTTGCCTTCCCGTGATTCATGTTTGAGCATAAGCTCAAGCTGTTATTAATTAGCAAGGCCTCATTCGGCCTCATCTGGCAACCGCGGTTTGTAATAGTCACAAGTCCAAGAAGGACCAAGCACCCTACCCAGGGCTTCAAATCACCCGAAACTTTCAAACTCTATATAGCATGGTTTCGAGGCCAAATAAGCTGAACTAAGGGATCGGGGTTCTCACTCAGATCTTCCAGTATCCCTTGATTGGGTTTAGGGTTTAGGGCTTAGGGAGGAGCATACGATAAACTGCAGTAGGATTCCTTGTGGAATTTGTGGTATACTCCTTGAGAAAGCGATATTGGAAAACGTGGACAGGCAGTGTTCTTGTCTGTTCTGGGCCGTATCATCCCAACATCTTCTCTGAAGAAGAGAAGAAAGAATTCCAATCTCCTTCCAGGTATCGATTCGGGATATTTTGTAATGCCCCCCATTGTGACAAATTTTGGGTACTGTTGAAACGGGAACCCAGTATGAAGGGAACGCTAGGTATCCTAGTTTTTGAAGCCCCTAGACTATCCTCATAGAAGCCTTAGAGCCGTTAAGACCAATCATGGCATCCTGGAAAACCCACCACCAAAGTCGTAGAAAGCCAGCACGACAAACATCAAAACCCATAAAGTTGGATAATGTATAAACCCTAAACCCTAAACCCTAAACCCTAAATGGAGGCCGGAAGAACCGCTCAAGGCATCCCCCAATGTAGTCCCTCGTCTATATTTTTCGCAAAACTCGATCCTTAGAACGAAGGTCCCTACACTCCTGTGGCCCCTTACTTCCCAAAACCCCCCAACATTTTCCAAACCCTAAACCTTAAACCCTAAACTCTAAACCTTAAACCCCAAACCTTAAACCCTAAACTCTAAACCTTAAACCCCAAACCTAAACCTAAAACCCTAAACCTTAGACCCTAAACCCAAAGAGGTACTGGGGCCTTAGCCTTAAACTTACACTCCACCTCAAGCCTAAAAGGATTTTGCCACAATTCCCATAGTTTAGGGTTTAGGGTTTAGGGTTTAGGGTTTAGGGTTTAGGGTTTAGGGGCCTTAAGGTAATGCAGGATTTATATCATCAACAGTACTTCGGAGGCAGGCACCATTCCCCTTTTATCGGACGCTCTTGGTGGAGGCCAGGGAGGGTTTGTGTGGCTTCAGGGGGTTTAGGGTTTTCAACCGGGTTCTATAAGGGTTCCTATAGGCTTAGTTCTCCAATACCCAACCTTTAAACTTAATGGGCTCGTATAGTTTAGTAGTAATCTGAAAGTTTTACAGTTTTTTTGTCCCTGGCTTATTGGGGAAGGAAGTAGAGGTTTTAGAAGGGTTCTATAGGGGGCTTAGGGTTTCGAGTTTGTGGTTTTCGGGGTTAGGTTCACGGGTTTTGGGGTTTAGGCTTTGGGGATACTCAAGGGCTTTACCAGGGAGCTCCACGAGAGCCTGGCCGAAACTCCTTCTCGGGTTTTGTTTTTTTTTAGAGTTTTGGGTTTAGGGTTTTGGGTAAAGGGTGTTCGGGGTTAGGGGTTTTGGGTTTGGGGTTTTAGGTTTTTGGGTTTAGCTTAGTTCCCCAATACCCAACCTTGAAACTTGTTGTAAGTGAGTAGTAATCTGAAAGTTCAACCTTTTATTTCCCTGGCTTATTGGGGGAGTAAGCTTATCAGACCTCCTCATAAGCCCTTGTAAAACCCAACCCAGCTTGAACCCCCCAAGGTGATCCCCAAGTCCCATTGAATCCGTAACTTTTTTCGGGGCTTTTATAATTAGACTAGCATTGTGGGGGCTCCTGATTATACCTTCCGTAGCCCTGTTCACGCGCGCTTAGCGCTATGTTTTAGTAGCCTTTCACGTCGGTTTTCACGATTAGGAATTCAGGGCTTGAAAATGCCGGCACACGCACGGTTTTGCGACTTAGGCGTGGGGGTGGGGGGGGTGGGGGGGGGGGCTAGTTCCGTCAGGTCGACTGCTATACAACTCTACTACTGCGACAACTACTAGCACTACATAGGACTACTACGATTACTGGTCGTGCTCCTCTTGCTTCTGCTGCTGCTACAGTTGCTGATGCTGCTGCCACGACAGCGGCGACTACTAGCGCTACATAGGACTACTACGATTACCAACACTGCTCTTCGCTCTGGCCGTGCGAAGCGCAAGCCGCGCCGTTCTGAGGGATCTGTGGCTCCTGGCACCTTCCGGAAATCCTTCAAGTTTGGGGCATGCCCTTCCCACCCAAAGCGGTCCATGCAACCGCACATCATCCGAAGCGGTCCACAGCAGGGTCGTCTCGTTCTGTTCTGTAGCGGATGGTGGAAGAAGTCCGCTGCGCACAACCAGCGTCTTTGCTGGCAGCGTTGCGATTTCCCAGTAAATCGCATCAATGAACTGCCATCCCATATGCTGGAAGAATTCCAGTCCTTGCAAATGGCTTTTGCTCGAAGCGCACAGACGTTCTGAGGCAGTCTCTTCTAAAAGTGCTGAAGTGATGAGGATACCACAATCTTCTTCCTTCTAGTGGAGTTCTTTCGAAGGCCCCCAGTCCCTTGGGTTCTGACTACCCTAAACCCCTAAACCCTAAACCCTAAACCCTAAACCTCTTGGGTTTGTGCTTTTGGGGCCCCCGGCTTCTCTTCGGTGCTTGGCGGCGGCGGAGGGATCTTCAGGGCTTTCGAATGTCTCTACACACGTCGATAAGCAAAACATGGTAGACATTGACTATCACTTATAGCCATAAAATATAACTTGTAGCCATTCTTCAGCTCCGATAAATAAATCTTCAATGATGCTCCGACTGCCTTGTATTCCGCGATTTCTCCCTGTCCATTACTCCTGTCACGCGGTCAAACGTGTCCATCAAACGCAAACCACCAAAAACATTAAAAAAACAAAACCAAAACACGACAAACCGCATAAACACACATGGAACTCACAAACTGCCGTGCCTGCCACGGTTTTCCAAGATATCATTATCGACTCATGTCAAGAAACTCCTTCAAAAATCGATGTTAGTCCTGTGTTGGCACCTGCGATGAGCCGTCCACGTGTCTGCCAAAGCACATCAAAGCTAACAAAAATAGCAAATCCTTCGTTTTTTTTTTTTTACGGTTCGCGCCACGTATATAACCTCCTCAGGTGCTCAAGAGCCTCCGCGACATGGTTTTTACGAGGCAAAATGCTTCTGCAGTTTTGCTGCTTTTTGTTATTGTCTTGATAAATTGTTGCTCCGACAACGTCGAAGGCTCAAATTCCTCGAGTTTTTTCACACTTTCTGCCACACAAGCGTTTGCGAATAGACCATACAAAGTAAATCTGTTGGCGTCTGCCCGGCGTCAGGACACTGTCATTATTGGCAGCTGCGCAAAGGCCATTTTTCGAGTTTTAGCGCGTTTTGACGCAGAAACGCATCATTTCCCAACCCGCACAAATTAGCCAAACAGTTGTTTTTTTCGTGGTATTTGCAATGCAAAACGCTTCCCTGTCCTGCCGCGCGCGCGCGCGTGAACAAGGCTTCGGAGCGTTATAACTATAGTCCCAAGCCCCATTCTAATTATTAGGGCCTCTATATTACATAAATCCGACTAAGGACCATGTGGCCTTCAGTGAGAGTGCCTTGCGGGGGCTCCTGGTACACCAGAACAGCCCTAACACCTTCAACTCCCCAACACAAACAAAGCCTTAGACTAAACTAAGCTGAACCCTAAACCCTGAACCCTAACCCCCCCTCACTACCCAATAAAACAAAATCTAAACCCGACATTACAGTAACCCCCCTACCCAACAAAGCAAAAACCAAACCATAAATTATAGTAACCCCCCTACCCAATAAAACAGAAACTAAACCCTAAATTATAGTAACCCCTACCCAATAAAAACAGAAACTAAACCCTAAATTATAGTAACCCCCTGCCCAACAAAGCAAAAACTAAAACCTACAACATAGTCCAAAGTCAAAGGCCCCTCCATGTCCGACAGCAAATTGCAAAGGTGACCCGGCGCTACACCTTCATCAACCACACCCAGAGGACTTGGCCCCAACGTGTTCTGAACATCCCACCCATCTTAGTCAGCCAATAGGAGAACTTTAAACTTTTTGGCTTTATATATTTGGTCTATCCTAAAAAGTTTGAACTTCTTTGGGCCTGGTTGTTGAAGAAGAGAGCCATTAGAGTTGAGGGTTTAGGGTTTGGGGTTTAGGATTGTCGTGAATTTGGAACCCTTAGCCCTAAACTCGGGAGGGGGCGGCTTCGATTGATTTGAGCAGAATCGTTGACCATAAATTTGATTATACCCTAAGCCCAAAACCCTAAACCCAGAGCGCCTAAACCCAAAACCCTAAAGAGATTTTTATTATACCCTAAACCCAAAACCCTGAACCCAGAACGCCTAAACCCCTAAACCCAAAACCCAGAACCCCTAAACCCGAAACCCTAAACCCAGAACGCCTAAACCCAAAACCCTAAACCCAGAACGCCAAAACCCAAAACCCAGAACCCCTAAACCCAAAACCCTAAACCCAGAACGCCTAAACCCTAAACCCCAAACCCTAAACCCTAAACCCTAAACCTCTAAACCCTAAAGCCTAAACCCCAAACCCAAAACCCAAAAGAGGCTCCATGTACTGCTTCGGAAGACCCAAATGGGCCCGACGA